TGACACGGAACAGATACTCATTATTCTTTAAATATGTGAATTCCTTTCTCTTTCAAAAAAAAAAGAAATGACTATTTCCCAATGTATAAGACCCATAAAGAAAGAGTGCTAAGGTCTTTTGAATGGTGTCATGTATCTATTAGAAATTAAGATCATAAAGCCTCAGTTTTCATTCAAAGTTGACCTCTACCAAAAATTAAAGGCATGCATTGTTACTCAGGTCCTGATGCTGTGTTATACACATTGGGTTAGACCTCCTTGTCTTGACTCTTTGAATCATAGCTGTTTCCTAGATCCTCTGGACTTGGTGTCTATACCAGCATCTATAAGGTGGATTAGCACCCACAACACCCAATGCACAGGCCTTCTACCTAGCCTCAATCAGCCTCTCCTGTGTCTCTACCAAGACCCTGCACTCTGATAGTCATTTGACTGGTTTCCAACAGTGATCCAGATACTGCCGCTGGACGTTCATAGGCAATTGCTTCATGTATTTGGAAGTGATTCTTTCTGAAGCCATGCTCATAAACTACATTAGTACTCTCAAAATATATTATTGTTCTCCTCCCCTAACTTCAGTGAGACACCTAATTCAGTGCTTAGTGCATGAAAAGGACTCAATGTTTTTTGAATAAAAGAATAGATAAATATATTAAATGGAGGCCATAAAAAAACCCTCTTATTGCTCTATCAATGTACCTTATGCTCACACATGTGATTTCTTAATTGTCCCCATGCCAGTGATGCATATGCCTCATCTAGTGATGAACACAAATGTAGTGGTGAACACAATTTTCACTAACAACAGACTGGAAATAGCCAAAGCCACTAAATAGCTGTAGCCTAAGAGCTCCACATCCATGTGTCAAAGGAGAAGCAGATGGGTCAACCTCCTTTGTGACACAACTTCCCAAAAGTACTAAAATAATGATTCATTTTACAGACATGAAAAACACAGCAGGAAATGGAATAACACAATTTTAATTAGAAACATTCAGATTTACTCTTAATTTAATTCAGCTGCCCAACAGCCATGGTTAGATTTGCATCATGATGTATTTTCGATACTATCTATTTTCATAAATGTAAACTTTCCTGAATATGGTTCTGATGGATCCTGACATTTTAAAATATGTCCTATTGTCCTTTTCTGTGCAGTAGACCAAGCATAGAGTGTTCACTCCTATATCATTGTCACTGTACTATCAGACCAGATGGCTACTTCATCACAGAATCAAGAATTAGGAATAATTTATGCTGTTCCTTGCTCTAGAATATGAAAATAGAAAGCATTTGCTGCACACATACTCATGAGGAGCAGCTTGAACCAACCCTAACAGCCTCATCGGAGGACATTTGGTGCTGTGGCTGCACCGTCTACAGGAATTGGATTTCATTCTATGGAGCCCTAAGCTCTCAGGTCATGGAGAAAATTATTGAAGCACGTGAGTCGATGCTTCACCTAGTAATCAAATTAAGCCCAGAGAGCCTCTTTGTTGAGGAAAACAAGTTGCAATAAAACAGTTCTAAAATGGGAAAGATTATATCTGAACCTTTCATTGTTTCATATTCAAGGATTTCTCCCCTTCATAGGAAAAAAATTACGAATGTTGGCTTAATATTCAGAGCAGTTGTTTTTGTGTCTGTGAACATTAAATGTTAGAAATGGAAGAGCTATTTATCTTCAGCTGGCTGAAGAGAACAGTGGAAATTTCTCTTTATTGGTCTATAAATAAGCAAAGTCTGAACACACCCTTTATTGGGAGAGGAGCCACGGCAACTCATTCCACATATCAACTGGCTCGGCAGGATTTCTGTATTTGATATGGTCATAAGCATGCAGCTAATGACATAGACAAAAGGTTGTCCTCTCACACTATCAAATGTATTTAGCCCTAGGACCAACTAGTATTCCCCAGAAACTAGTATATCCTTAGAAAGAAAAATGCATGTAAAATCATAAACATTTCTAACAGGTGTTATTGTTGAGAAAAAGCTAGAGGAATCAATGATGTATCATTTAACAAGATCAAATGAATGGTGGTTAGTTTCTTTGTAAAATCATTTATTAACAAAGAAATGTGACACACTTGGGCTTTGTTTACATACTGCCAGAAAAAGCTGGTTAATTCAGTAAAAAAACAAGCAAACAAAACCTCCCCCAAAATATCAGTTAAGATGCCTATTTGAATTCTACAAACCAGAGATTGGCTGCATTAATTTATCAGTTATCTGTGGTTGTGAACATGTAGGAAAGCCATTGAAAATCTCTCAACTAAATGGGCAATATAATCTGTTCTTCCTATGTGAATCTGTTTAATTTGTTCATGTATATTAACTTTTTCAGATTAGATAGCCCACAAAAGCAGACAGCTGCACTAGAGGAATTTAGTTATGTAGGCAAAATTAAGAGGCTATCAGTATGAAAAGTGAACTGACAGAAAGCCTAACAAATTGGAAAGAATAACAGGCAGCTAGCAAGAATCATGTTCCCTTTCCAAGAAAGGAACTCTGCCTGTTCCCTGTACGTGATTTGAGGCTTATACTCATATTAATGATAATACCTCTTCCATCAATATCTTGGATTATTACCAGTGTCTGGGAGAAATTTTATTGGCTGCCGCAGTTCATTGAAAATTAATTGATATGACACACTTACTCTACATGAACTTGGAAAAAAGTCTATGGAGTGAGTGATTTAATTCATTTTATGTTAATTATAAATTATGCCAGGAAACACTATTACGGATGGCCTTGTTTCCAGCTCACATTGCATGTGTGAGCAGTTTGTACTTCCGACATGCTGAATACCCTGACTTTGACTGACTAACACCTTAGGAAAGGCATTCATTTGGCATTCTCACTAATATTTGCAATGTGGCATGTCCTTAAACAAATTAGGCCAGGAGGAGGCAGCAAAATGGCCCACTTATCTTTATTTGTAATTTAACCAACATTATGGGAGACAACATCCAAATTGGGCAATTTAAAACTTTTACTTGCTTTCTGTATATATGTAAATAATCTCCTGAGTGTTTCAGAAAACTGAAAAGGAAGAGGGGTTGGGGTAGGGTGGGGAGCGGCTGCCAAATCAAGCGGAAAATGCAAGATGACTTTAGAAAGAGAATATAGAGTTGCTGGTTGCACATTAAGGCGGTATGCTGAAGAACTCTTTATTTTCATTTCCTGTTTGATAGTGCTGATGAGTAGATTCCTCTCTATTCTCCTCTCGGTGAGCGCACACTAGTACTTTTATTAAAAGGAGTCCATCAGAATGGGGTAGTTGTTATGCAGGAGCAGTAGCTCACATAATGGGGGATGGCATTTCTTTCCACTCGTGCTGGTCCGCTGGTTCTAATAGCAACCTGGAGCTCAATTTCCTCCTCAAGAACATTGCATTTCATGTGGAATGTCAATTATTAAAATGCAGTGTCCCGTGTCTTACTTCTCAGTAGATGAATTCATTTGCAAAACTTGCTAATTTATGCAAATGATCCTTAACCTGTAACTGCCTGGAACCTATTTCAGCATTTCTAGCATTTGGCGGCTTGGAGCCTAGATGCGGGAAGGAAATCCATTAATGCAGAATTTGTCAGTTCTGTCATCATTATATTGGTTACTGAGTTGTTTAAAAAAAAAAAACAAAACAAAAACAGATAAAAATGTGTTATTAAGTGGAAGCCAACCGACAGCTAGAGCTGAAAAATCTAGAGATTAAATTAAAGATAAACCAGGATGAGAGGATCTGATACCTGTATCTCCTGACACCCCTGAGTAATGTTAGATGCTAATGACCTCTTTTCTGGAAGAAACTAACTGGTTAATAACCCAAAGAGGGTCTATCAGCTACTGACTAAGACAGATCCAGATAGTGAGCAGATAAGAAATTTCTTATTGGGAATAAGAGCCAAATTGGCCTGGGTTTCCGTAAATGCAAAGCACAAAAGGAAATATACACAGTTTTTGTTTTTATTTTTTAGTCACGGTTACATGAAAGATGAGGTAGCAAAAAAATGGATGCTGTCAGGAAGGGGGTTGCTGTGTGTGCATGCATGCACGCATGTGTACTTGTGCTTGTGTGTGAGAGCATGAGGTGGTACAAGAGGGCCCGCTGGTACTTCTGTGTCTGAATGTGTGTTCCCACAAGTAACTCGTCCATCACATATCTTGCAGCTTCCCTTTGAATCGATTGAGTTTTGTACGTCAATGGGGCTGTATTTTAATCAACAGTTTGGAAAAGACATACAATTTTTAACCCCTGCAGCCCTCATGTACTGTGACACAGTCTCTTTTCATGAACCATGTTGAGAAAGGGCTTTCTGCAAACCTCAGAGCTGCAGGTCAGGAGGATTCAGATTTCTGGCCTGTCTTCTGCATCCATCGGACCTAGATCTATTGTTTTTATGCCGTGTTCTTCATTCTAGCAAGTTTACAAAGGCCAGCGAGCAGGCTGATTTAGATTTAAATTAGCCAGGAAGGCTTGATAAGGGAAGCTGTGTGTGTGTGTGTGTGTGTGTGTGTGTGTGTGTGTGTGTGTGTGTGTGATGCACAGGTGAGCTCTAGTCTGGACACTCAGCCTGGGCCATCAATGCAGACTCTATCAAGCAGCCCCTTTGGTCTACTGCACCGCACTGGCCACTGGTCACTGTTTTGGGGGATTTCCTTTGTTCAGCTGAGCATGGCCTCTGACTTACCTGAATCCATGCTGCACATACACTGTTACAAGCTGCCCTCATAACCCGATCTTCTGGCTGCTGTATTTTTGTGTTTTTTTTTTTTTTTTCTTTCAAGTGTACCAATAGTTGCAAAGCAGGTAGGGGCATTTGTTGTGGATATTGGGATGAATTGTTTCAACTCCTCGATGGATTCCAATGAAAGAGGAAAAAAAGAATCTGCCCTTAGTAAAATGGACAATTGACACTTCAAGGAATCTGTCCAAGGTCTGGAAGATTATAAGAGAGTACATATTTAATGGCTCACTTTGCTCCTATTTCTTTCAGAACTGTGTCTCTTTAAATCTACTGAGGAAGATATTCCTTCTGGCCCACAGGATGCCAAAATGACTTGGTGATTTATTTATGCAGCACTTGGCAGCCTATAGTCCAGATTGTGGCTGAAGCTGAATTTTATGAGCCTTCCCCTAGTGAATATATTTTAAAATTATATTAAAAATATATTTTTTGAAAACCTCAGTCATGTTTGGCCCAGCCTCGGGCCCTGAGAACGATGGTGATAGGACCAAGGAATTAATATTACTAAGGACCTGGCTGGTGAAATTTTTATTGTGAGAGCTTAGAAGAGTGTTAAGCTTTCATTTGGGGAAGGAAAAAAATTGTATTCAAACGTAAATGTTTTAGTGATAACAAATGTGACCTTTCCTATTTGTAGCAATTCATCTGGTCCCTCAACAGCTATTTATTGGGCTTCTCACTATGTTCCAGGAAGTATTCGAAACCCAGGGGATTGTGGTGAAAAAGACAAACACTGCCCCGTCTCGCCCGGAACAGACATTTCAGAGGAGGGAGATGGATGATAAATAGGTAAGTAAATACTGTAGTTGAACAGAATGGTTTCAAATCACAATAACAATAAGTCCCATGTAACAAACACACAGACTGCGTCACAGGACTTTGAGCTGAGAACCCCCTGAGGTGCAGTGACTTTCCATGTTTGCCTGAAAGGATAGCTTCTTTAATGTTAAATCAGAAAAGCAGGCTGGGCACAGTGGTTCATGCCTGCAATCTCAGCACTTTGGGAGGCTGAGGCGGGAGGATTGCTTGAAGCCAGGAGTTGGAGGCCAGCCTGGGCAACAAAGGCAGACACCATCTTTACAAAAAATTTTAAAAATAGCCAGGAGCGGTGGTGCGTGCCTGTAGTCCCTGAGGTGGGGTGGGGAGTCACAGGGGGCACAGGCATGGGAAGGAGGATGGCTTGTGCCCAGGAGTTCAAGGCTGCAATGAACTAGGATCCTACTACTGTACTCCAGCCTGAGCGACAGAGCGAGACCCTGTGTAAATAGAAAAGAAGAAGGTCTAGCAAAACAATTACCTGGACAATTTTACTTCTTTAAAACCCAGGCCAAAAAGAAAATGTGTTGTGAAGCTCAAATGAAAGGGTTTAGACCAAGAGACGAGTTGATACCAAGGTGGTCAGGCAATGTAGTTCCTTCCAGAAGCAGCTTGTAGTTTGGCATCGTGGGTTTAAACTTTACAGGGTCAGTGATTAATTGTTGTAAGGAGGCCCAAGTTTACAAAGTCTGAAATAAGGCCACAGGGGAAGGGTTTTCAATGATGGGTCATAAAAAATGACACAGCAAGGATAAGAACTTAAAATCCTGGGCAGTCTTCATTGAGAATTCTTCATAGTAATACCTCATATTTGCACACCACTTTATGTTTTTCTTTTAAGTACAGTTCACATTTTTATGGCCTTTGATTTCCACATCAATCCTGTAAGTTATTGCAATCCGCATGTTAGAGGAAAGAACTATGTCTTGGAAGAGATATACAGCTTTACAATGGTAAAACTGGTCTCTTTACCATAGTCAGCCATTCACTCAAAAATGCAGATGTGATACCTCCCAATTTTAAAGGAATAATTCTTTGTGATTGCATTGCACTCAGCTTCTGTAGCCAGTTGAAAGTGAAAACCTCTGGTAGTCCATAATTTTGTTCCAAGTTTTACCCCACTTTTATTGGATTTTTTAAACTGAAGTTATGCTTTCAAAATACAAAAACAACTACTTAAATAAGTAAATGGGCATGGCAGATGCTTCACGTGGTCCTATCTCCCAAAAAAGCTGCTTAAAACTATGGCTTGCTGTGGAGTCAAGTAGACAAGGACTCAAATTCAAAGACATAGTCTGGCTTTTATTGCTGACAGTGAGATAGATTTTCCTTAATACTAAAACTGAAGGTGAAAAGGAGGCCTGCAATTGTGACTAAGTCAAGGCCAGAGGATATCAAGGGCCTTGTCATTACTGTTAAAAACCACAAGCAAGAACAATCACCATAACCTAGACCTTTGCTGAAGAATTGCTGGCCGAGGAACAAAAAATTAATAATTCAAATGAAACTCGCTTAAATCATTTTACTATCCCTTTTGGTAAACAAAGACCTTTTCTTAAAACATAAAATTTTAAGGAATGTATCCTTTTTAATGGAAAAGATGTAATTATTACCATGTAACATTGATTGAATGTCAAAAGTATTTAATTTATTGGGTACTAGTAATACAGAAAGATGGTACATAGAAAGTGAAATTAGACACTTTCCATAAGTGTCTAGTCATAATTCAACAGACACAACTTAACACTCTTTTGCTAGCATGAATCTATCATCAGTAAACTTTCTAGTGATTACCTTTTTTTAAAAATTTCATATTGTATAATTTATTCACAATGTATCAATGCCCAAGTCTTTTGAGTAAGATTGCTTTCTGAGAGAGCTATGTGTGTGTTATTGTGTTTCATTGAAATTACTTAAGCATAAATTTGAGCTACAATTACGGTTATTTTGTAGTACAAAAGCGTTGGGGCAGAAGGTTCCATCTAGTACGTGTCCCTTTCTGTCCCATACACAGCCACATGCTATGCTGAACCAACTTGTAGGGTAAACTTGGGTGTGGTCAAACCTCATACTCTTGAGAATGTGGAAGAATCCTTCCTGCTCTACTTCAGTTAAGGCTCAAGGTGCCCCTTCAGCGTGATGAGAGAGTCTGGACCCCATGTACGCCATGGCTGACACTCGGAAGCAGTTTTGGACAGGCAGGTTCATCTAATTTCAGATGAGGGCTCCTTAATTCACAGAATGTCTGGATCTCCTGGGGCTTTATAAGAGCTAATCTCATCCAGTGCCAAAGCCCTTTGGGTTTTTTCCTACTGTTTGAGACTATACGTCATTAGTCTCATCCTCTTCTATGTGTTGTTTCTTTGGTTATTCTAGAAGATCCCAAGTAAAAGCTCCAGGCGGCAGTCAGGAGTTCTAAGCAGGTGATAGTCATAGTATTGATGGAAAGGGCTGGCTTTGGGATCAGTTAGATCTGGATTTGAATCTCAGCCTTACCACTTCCTGTGTGAACTTGGGCAATTATTACACTCTTCTTTGAGGGTCAATTTCCTTACTTGTAAATAGGAATAATTATGTCAACTTTATAGGACATCATGAGGATTAAATGAGGAAAAATAAAAACCAGCACACAGCATCTCCTAAGTGCTCAAAACTGCAAGCTCTCTTACCTCTTGACGCTTGAGGACCTTGCCTTCTAAATACATCTCCGTCTCATACATCACTTCAAGTCACAGGTACGCAAGTGGTTTTAATGACTCAGTTTCATCTGCTGCATATTTTGTCTAAAATGTCTAAGTACTTCACCGGTACAGTAAAGCCTTCCTCTAATGCCATCCTTGGATTTCTTGCTCTAGAGCCATTGTATAAATGGAGAAGTATAGAACAGTATTAACTCCCCTCCAATAGGGTTTAAGTTAAACTCACCCACCTTATCCTGTGGCATATGGTGTAATGGGGGATGGGCCTCCATATATTACCCTCTAAGGTGAGATTCAATTCCATTTTGCAGTTAAGACTTGATTAGGATCTTTGGCATGCTAAAGCCACAGTTCAAAAAGTAAAAATCTTGGGCTGACAGTTGCAGAGGTTTGTTGTTAATACCATGGAAAATAATCAAGTTTATTTAACTAATTCATTATTTTCCCATCAAGGGCAGCCTTGTCACTTTCAGAGAGAGGGATTTGGTCCCTTTTAATTAATGTGATTTCGTAGAGGCAGGATTCTGAATAGACTCTGTGATTCCTATAGCACAGCCTATTTTACTAACAGCTATCTAGACAGGATCAGTGTTGTTACTTCAAGAGTTATACAATGGAATAGGGGGGAGTTATAGGTAATCCCTTCTTCTGAACTAGCTTGAAATAAAAATTAAATGGGCCTTGAGCATTTGTGAATTGCAGTGTTTCATTGGGGCCATGGAACACTAAGTGAGGCTCAGAAACAGGGTGTTAATTCAGGCCTAATCATTTAATTCCAGTCTGTTATGTGCTGTATTTATTGCCCTCCTGGATCTGTTTTCTATGGCCTGATAAAGAGACAGTGATTCTCCAAAGCTCAGTCAGGGACCATTTTATTTATATCGTTAGTTGGTCCAATAAAAGCACTGGCTTCAGATTCCCGCTGTTATTTTCTGTTTTGTAGCCCTGTCATTAACTATGAATATGCTGATGGGGTTTTCATCTCCTACGCTGGAGTCTCTTGAGTTAAATGGGGACTTGTAAGAAGAGGGGAAGGTCAGGACTAGATGGACTGTAGAAAAGTTAAGTTTGATGTAACCAGATGTAAAGTGACTGGGAGGCAACTCGGGTTTTAGGAGCGAATACAAACCTTTCATTACTACATGTGTTAGTGTGCTGAAAGCTTGATTGACACTTTCAGAGCAAACTTAGGGCTTTTAAGATGTGATTCTGTTTGTGAACCAGACATGTTTCAGAGTTTTTAAAAGTCAAATCTTTCTGCAACTCTCCACAAAGTAAAAACTGTTCTAATTTTGCACAGAAGGTAATATGCTATAGCTCTAAAATTGTTTATATATGTCAAGCAAAGAAGTGATGAAAAACAACAACAAACATCGATAGGATCACACTTCAGATCCTCTTTTTTGAAAATAGTTTTTACTGTATACTTTTATTGTTTAGCCAACAATCTCTAAAGTGTTACAGAGGGCTCCAGAATAACAGAAAATAATGGTGGGAAACAGATTTATAGAGGTCACTTGAATTAATAATATGGCAATCAGAAGATAACACAGGTGCATTAACATAACATACTGTGTAATTACTAGTGTTTCCAAAGGAGTTAATGGGTAGTTATCCATGTAATAATAGACATTATTTCATAGCAGATATGCAATTAGCTCATCTCATGGGTGTGTAGAGCACAAATGAAGCAAATTATCATTATTGTTTCAACACTAAAAGGTGAGGACATTTTGAGGACTGATGGGCCTCTTTATCAGACATACTATTCATATTTTTAAGACTGTCTAAAGCACACATTCAGCAAGTAGAGGTGAGAAACATTCAGCAACTAAATGTGAGAAATGTTAACAGTTAGTAGCTTCCATACCTATGCTGGTATTTAAATGTTTGGAGCAATTAGCATGGTAGACAGTTGTACTGGGGGATGTGGTTGAAATTGCTTGAGCAAATTTACATGGAAGTATACATCAATAACCAAAGTTATCACATTCTCATTGAAAGATAAGAAATGAATATTCATTCATTTTACCAACAAAGATCTGCTGACCACTTTCTATAGGAGATGAACAGCTAACAATTAAAGTCATGCCTCCATTCTAACTCTCCTAAGTACAGTGAGGTGTATCTTCGAATTGCAGGGGCTGGAGAGACTGTGCTATATATGAGGACATCACTTAGTACTTTAGCATTTATAGGTCAGGGCAGGCGCAGTGGTTTACTCCTGTAATCCCAGCACTTTGGGAGGCAAGACGGACGGGCGGGTCACTTGAGGTCAGGAGTTCAATGGCAAAACCTGTCTCTACTAAAAATACAAACAAACAAACAAACAAAAAACGCTGGGAGTGGTGGTGCATGCCTGTAATCCCAGCTACTAGTTGGGGCTGAGGTAGGAGAATTGCTTGAACCCTGGAGGCGGAGGTTGCAGTGAGTTGAGTTTGCGTCAGTGCACTCCAGCCTGGGCAACAGAGCGAGAATTCATCACCAAAAAAAAAAAAATAATTTATGAGTCACTTTGTTATGCAGTATTACGTTTGATCTTCAAAAGAACCTTGTGAAGTAGGAAGGCAGGTATCTTCATTTTACAGATGTGGAACTTGAGTCTCAAAGAGCACATGTGTCTGGTTCAAGGTCACTTATCAAGAAAACAGTAGAGTCAGGTCTTCTCATCCCTAATCCAGAGCAAGTCCACTAAATAAAGATTGAGAGAAGCTATATTTAAAAATGACAAATAGCTCCACCTCCTGTTCTAGGCTTTTATGATTCTAGGCTTTTATGATTCTAGAGTAAGTGTCAAATCTTGAGTTTTAGAGAGAGGAACGAGCTAGAATTAAAAAAATAAAAATAAAAAATAAAAAAAGATTTCAAAGATGTGGGAGTATATGGGAGGGGGCTGGAGAGATAGATAGTAAAGGCATTGGAGGCCAAATAACTAAGGGAGGGGAGGAAAGGGTGGTGGCCAGACGTGTAGCCCCATGGGGATCAGAGACAGTGCCAGGCACAGTGGGCTTGCATAGAAAGCTGTGGGAAATATGTATTGAATAGTAAACAGCACCCAGATAGAGGAGGCTCTGACACAGAATTTACTTGGGAGGAAGTGAAGAGCCACTGACAGTTTGGGACAGGAGAATGATGTCACAAAAATGACTTTTTGCGAGGATTAGTTTAGTGGTATGCACGAAAAAGTAGCTATTATTGGCAAAGACACAAGTTATGATCCCATAGCAATTGTCCAAGCATGAGAGAACCTAAGACTACAAAAGAGAGCATACAGCCACAAGGATTTAATAATTCTCCGGGGAATTAGAAAAACTATTTTTAAATGTTATAAAGTATTCAAATAAATCAGTCCCAGATGCTCGCCCTTCTTGAGAAATAGCTCCAAATTAAACTTGGCTTTTAGCAGACATGAAAAGGAAAATTAGGCAATCATCTAAAATCCAGGGCACGCCCTATATACTTCATAGGGCTCAATTTGTTTTTCTTATAATGTTGATGAAAATATTATCTGTCAAGCAAGAGAAACATTTCTCTAGGTTGCTAGCTTTTCAGATATCAATATTCTTATTAAAATACAATTTATAAGGTTGCTTTACTTCTTCTCTATTTTAAATGTATAAATGAAATCAAATGAATGCTAAATTTGGAGGTCATTAGAGGATTATTTTTTCCTTTGTGAGCTAAGGAACAGAATAGGATAATAGTAGGAATAAAAGAAAAAATTTAGTGTTTTGAATTGACTTTTCTAAAGTCTAGAGTCTTTACTATGGAGAATTCCACAAAACTTTGATACTTGCGAAGGGTCACAATATAAATTAATCTAACATCATGGCTTTAAGCTAAGCAAGATCTATTATTCCTAAATAGCCTCAGGCTAAATTCTGGACTAAGGTAAATTAGTTTTTAGACCTATGCAATTCTGCAGTATAAATTGTCACGCTGGCTGGGTAAACTTGATGAGCAAGTAACTTAACATCTCTGGGCCTCAGTTTTCTCATCTGGGAAGTGGGGATAATAGTACTGCCTGCCCTCACAGATGAATTCTGCAAATATTAGTCACCATTGAGATTCATTCTCAATCCTCTCTGCGTACCCCTGCATTTTGTACATAGTGATCCTGGCCATCAGGATGTCCTCTCAGCAACACTTCATTTTCCCATCATTTGTGCTGCCTGCCCTGAGTTCCAGTTCACCCTACTCAGTGCCCTAATTTTGACTAAGTTGAGAACCTGCTGCATGCCGAGATGTCAATGAACGTTCACATATCTCCTTGTCAACTTTTCCAGATATCTTGTTTGCATTTTAAAAGGGTTTAAAAGCCTTAAGCCAAACAGTGAAAATGGTATTAATTATAGGTTCCTCAATTGGTTAGTGAGGAAGATCATGGCAGGGAGAGAGGGAAAAAGGGCCTAAATCCACCCCCCCCCCAACATTTTAAGGTAGCCTCTGGGGAGAATCTGAACTTCTGGTGGTTCCTGAGTGACTCCATAATCAACACCTAATGTTGTTGCTGCTCCAGCCATAACCCTGGCTCCTAGATCCGAGGGACATCAAAGTTGGTCCTATCATCAGGAACATTTTTGTGGTTAATAGAATATGCCACCATCCCTTTCACATTCAGCGAACACAAAGACACATCTTCTAGCAAAGGGCTGCGTTTTGGTGTCTAATGTTCCAGCTACAGTAAAAGCCCACTGGCCTTCCTCCCGTGTTTACAAACACAAGCATTTAATCCACAGCTATGCCTCCATTGCTGAAGAGAGCTGCCCTGCATCCCTGCATAACAGGCTCTTTTTCTCTCAAACCAATTGTGGCACTTGCTTCCTTCGGCCCTGGTGCCTACCTACAGCTGTGCTTACTGAAGTGAGACTGTAATTTGCTACAGCATGCCAGAGTATTAATAGACAATTATTTATTGCAAATCTGAACCATTTATACTGTTTACTGGCTGAGACAATGTAAAATTTTGATCCAAATGTTAATGTGTCCATGACATTGCATAATTCTGTTCCATGCCATGGTTTTTCTCTTCTAAATGAATCGAATTTGCAGTACAAGGAAATGGCGTTTTTAATGGATGAGTGATTTACAGCCTCAAACTTATAAGGCTATTATTTGTGTAACTGAGGGAGAATTGACTAATTGCAATAACACAGCAAATTAGACAAATTTAGGATTGTACTGGGAACAAATTCATAGGGAGAAAATGAAAATAACTTGCAAAGTTCTTAAAGGGTAAATGAATAAATCTCACTTTAGCTTTACAGGGCAATTGTGTTTTGGGGGCAGATCAGGTACCTTTGAGGCCAAACAGACTTATAAATATTCAATTGAGTAGAACATAGATAAAAATTACCTCTTCATAAAGAACCATATGTGTAGGAGAGAGCACTTCCAATTCTCCAAATGTTTACTGAAATTGCCTACACAAATGTTTGCAGCAGTTGGGTGAAAACAAAGAGCTTTACAGTTATATGGTTTTCATGAAAAAGACACCAATTTTAGCATATTTACCTTCTATTTGTTGAGCATGCAACACAATGCCAAGGAAGAGTGATTTCCTAATGGAGATCTTCATGATTTTTCAAAATAAAAAATGTGTATCAGCAAAAATAATACTTCTATCTTTCTGAGGTATTCCTGTTAGGCTGTTTATATCGATTCCTGTTATTTTTTACCTCTACTCACAGAAATTGTTAAGATAAAAAGTGCCTCAACACAGCTCTAATGAAATCTGAGAGCTACACTAGATGTCTAAAAACAAGGACATTCAAAATTAAGACTCCTTTAATATTTTAGTCTATGGGGCTCCCACAAATAAATAATGAGAGAAAACTAATTTGGGGTTACTCCAAAAATATCTCACAAATATTTGTGTGTCAGTCCAAATTTCAGTTAACCCTTGAACAGTGCGAGCGTTAGGGGTGCTGACCCCCGTGCAGTAAAAAATTCTAATGTGGCCGGGCACAGTGTCTCACATCTATAATCCTAGCACTTTGGGAGGCCGAGGTGGGGGGATTACTTGAGGTCAGGAGTTCCAGACCAGCCTGGCCAAAATAGTGAAACCCCATCTCTACTAAAAATACAAAAATTGGCTGAACGTGGTGGCACACACCTGTAATCCCAGCTACTTGGGAGGCTGAGGCAGGAGAATTGCTTGAACCCAGGAGGTAGAGATTGTAGTAAGCAGAGATCGTGCCACTGCACTCCAGCCTGGGCAACAGAGTGAGACTCCATCTCAAAAAAAAAAAAATTCTCATGTAACTCGATTCCCCAAAACTTCACTGCTGATAGTCTACTGTTGACTGGGAGCCTTGTGAAATACATACATACATATTTTGTATATTACATGTATTATACACTGTATTTGTGCAATAAAATAAGTTAGCAAAAAGAAAATGTTATTAAGAAAATCATAAGGAAGAGAAAATATATTTACCGTAAGTGGGAGTAGATCATCATAAAGGTCTTCATCCTTGTCATCTTCACATGGAGCGGGCTGAGGAAGAGGAGGAAGAGAAATGGTTGGTTTTGCTGTCTCAAGGGTGGCAGAGGTGGAAGAGATAGAGGAGGTAGAAGAGGAGGCAGGAGAGGCAGGCACAATCCATGTAACTTTTATTGAAAAAATTCCAAATATAAGTGGACTCTCACAGTTCAAACCTATGTTGTTCAAGGGTTAGCTGTGTATACAAAATGGCCTTCTCTTCTCTAATGGCAAGACCCTCCCTCCCACTGGTGTTAGTGATTGCTTCCTTGGTTTTCTTTCCTGCTCCCTGCGACCAATAGCATCCTCTTCGAGTCTGTTCTCCACAATTCAGCTAATGATCTTCTTTCTCAAATATATGCCTTGTCTTGCCTCTCCCCTGAAAAAAACCCTCCCCAGAAAGATCAGGATAGAGAAATACTTTATCATGGTGTACACAGTCCTTCTCTACTTCACAGCGGATACCTTGCCACCATCTCTCTTTCTGGTTCTCCCTTTTTTTTTTTTTTGAGACGGAGTCTCGCTCTGTCGCCCAGGCTGGAGTGCAGTGGCCGGATCTCAGCTCACTGCAAGCTCTGCCTCCCGGGTTCACGCCATTCTCCTGCCTCAGCCTCCCGAGTAGCTGGGACTACAGGCGCCCGCCACCACACCCGGCTAGTTTTTTTGTATTTTTTAGTAGAGACGGGGTTTCACCGTGTTAGCCAGGATGGTCTCGATCTCCTGACCTCGTGATCCACCCATCTCGGCCTCCCAAAGTGCTGGGATTACAGGCTTGAGCCACCGCGCCCGGCCCTGGTTCTCCCCTTTTCTTGTCCCCCAGCAAGCTCCAGGTGACTTGTAATCCTTGGAAACAGGCTTTGTGCTTATCTCTAATTTCAGGGCCTTTGTGCATTCCTGATCTTTCTCGCTTTGTGGTGCTTTCCCCACTCTCTTTGCTTGGCTCTTACTGATGCTTCAAGAATGGTTTTGGATGACATCTTCCCCGGGAAGCCTTGGCTGAGCCCAGCAGTCAGTCAGCTTCCCCTACTTCCCATCACTGTAGTGCCAGCCACACCCAGTTTAGAACGCTGGGTCTTTAACTACTTTCTCCACTGAGCTAGAAGGTCCTGGAAGGCATGACTTGTCTTCTTTTCTTTTTTTTTTTTTTTTTGAGACGGAGTCTCGCTCTGTCGCCCAGGCTGGAGTGCAGTGGCGCGATCTTGGCTCACTGCAAGCTCTGCCTCCCAGGTTCACGCCATTCTCCTGCCTCAGCCTCCTGAGTAGCTGGGACTACAGGCGCCCGCCACCACGCCCAGCTAATTTTTTGTATTTTTAGTAAAGACGGGGTTTCACCGTGTTAGCCAGGATGGTCTCGATCTCCTGACCTCGTGATCCACCCGCCTCGGCCTCCCAAAGTGCTGGGATTACAGGCGTGAGCCACTGCACCCGGCCGACTTGTCTTCTTTACTGGGCTTAACCACAGGGTAAACACCCAGCAAATATATGAGGAATAAGTGAAATGTATCTTGAATACCTACTTTGTTCCAGGCACTGAACAACGTCCTGGGGGAATACAGAAATGGTTTGTGCGCGGTCCCTTCTCCCAAATAGAATAGCTTATAATTCAGTAAAGTTATGTAAGAAATCCAGAAATAACAGCAGAATATGATAAGAGCCAGAAGAAAGGCAGGAGTTGCCATAGGGTTTTAGAAAATTGAGATTCATTCTTTAAAAACCACTATCTTCTCTTTGTTTCTCTCTGTCTCACTCACTTAATCACTTTGAAATCAAGCAGACCTCGAATTAAATCTGCATTCAACCACTTATTAAGTATGTGACCTCGGACAATTTTTGTAAGTTTCAGTTTTCTCATCTGTAAAATGAAGATAATATTTACCTTAGAGGGTGCAGTGAAGGTTGTGCAAAGGGCCAAGAGCATAGAAGACTCAGCAAATGGCGTTGAGAATATTATTTCAAGGCAATGTGCCACTTGTTCTCTCAAAGCTGCTCCACTGTACTTCAAGTTTGATTACTCAGCATCTCATATTTCAACTATTAAAAAGATATCTTTAGAGTAGGAATCTTATCTACACATGGCAAATAGCTTGTTTTCAAAATAGGACACAATATACTACTCAGTTTTTTCCAATATTGATTATAAGTTAATATTTGGAAGGGTTTCCTTGTTACTGATAAGCTTGAATTTGGGGCTTTTTGAAATTTTAAGGATGCGAGGATAGAAACCATAGCTTACACTCCGCAGGTTGTCAAATACTTTTTGCTGAATTTAAATTGCCAAACTTAAAACATCTGATTTATTTATGCAGTACATATTTATTGGGCTCTTGGATAGACCCTCTTGCTGTATCCATCTTTCCTTCCACAGACCTCCATCTCAAATGGAAAAGTATCGGGGGAAATGGAAAGCAGCAACCAACTGCAGCAATGTACACAAGTAGTGAAATGAAGCAATGACTGGTTGAAATTGAATCAGATTTTAGTGTCAATTACAGTGCCTATGTCAGAGTAAGGACCAAACACCATTTCTATAACTTACATGATAAATTAAGCCAAGACAATTATCTACTACATTAATACTGGATTCAGGGTTATATACTGGTCAAGAATTTGGATTGCAAAATTAGACCTGTATAATTGTGATTTTTTACAAATTACTTAGTCTTTTTAGACTCCAAATTCTTCAACCATTTCATGGGGATTGTAAAACCAACCTTGTGAGGTTGCTTTGTAAGTCAGTTGAGATAATGCATGTAAAACACTTAACACATAGGTAACTCATTGCATGGATATTTTTAGTATCATTTTGAAGATGTCATGGACATGGTGGCAATTTAAAAAACACTAAGTTAAGGGCAGCTGTTTGAGAGACAAGATGATTGTATTATCGTTACTTAGCTGAATGCTTAGTCCATACTCATTGGACGGTGTGATCTTGTATTTCTGCAGATTGCCCAAGAATGGGGCGGGTGTGAAACATGCATTCAAGAAACAGGATCAATAGATCTGAATGTCTTAACTAAATCAATGCAAATAGAAAGTTTGAATTATGCCCAAAATAACCAGCTACCACCTTCTGTACATGCAAAATTGGAACATGGAAATATTAATTAAAAAGGAAACATTTTTGGACTCTATCATGAGAAGCTAGTTGTTTAGCTCAGTCCTCTGCCTTTAGGAAAAGCCTCTAATTAGTTTTCAAGAATTTTATTCTAATCTGCAATCACAGAAACACGCTGACAATGTTGAAAGAAAATAGACATCAGACAAATTTCAACTCAAGTTCCCATTTTGGAACAAAGCTTGCAGCACATTACCTTACTTACATAACTTACATTAATTACATTACTTACACATCTTTGGAATACAATAATCTTGTATTAAATATTTTGTGTTAAAGGGATTACATTTGTTAATTTTATTCATTGAAAATATGCAGGTTCTATAACTGTTTAGATGCTTCTTCACTTTTCAATACTCAGTCTCTCAAATTAGCAGTAGCTTGGGCCACTCTCTTGACCACTGTGGTGTTATAGCCTTTCCAATGTATTCATCTGGTTCATGCCCTGATTTTGAGCAACAGGGGGAAAATATTCCTTATTCATATTAAATGTATTTATTTTACTTTAACATCTCATTCAAGAAGAGAAGCCAGAAACAGGAATATGTTGTTTAAGAGCCAGTTTTAAATTGTGTCCAATGGAAGAATTCCATGGGAGTTGCGTAGGGCTGTGTCACTGATGTACATCAAGAGGAATTCAGATTTTATATTATTTGTTCTAAACCAGAACATTTTACTTATTATTCATAATACATGTTGAAAGCAGACACCAAAATGGCTCATTTGGAGCCTTTTCTTCTCGCCTGCTAATGCACATTAACGCCAGTACACATTCTGTATTACAGATCCATAAAATGCATTTGCATAATATTGAAATTATAATCCCAAATGTGTACTAAAAACCTTTGTGAAAAATTGTTACTGCTCAGCTACTATACAGTGGCTAATTTTTAATCTTCAGCCTCTCAGCTGCGAGTAAAGATGGGGTATTCTTTAAATACAAATCTCAGGAGTCAGATCCTGGAAACTTAACTCTACCCTCTTTGAAGTAGGCTGCTTTGAGGGGGAGAAATAGACTATCCACAGTGCTAAACAGCTGCCTCCATGGTGATTCTGGTATTTTGTGGACTGATGTCTTGAATTTTTAGATCAGGTGAGAGGATCTTTAACCTGCCTTGCATCACCAATGGGATGAGCAAAAAAGCCCTCTGGAGCAGAATCAAAGTGGCTGAGGTGGCAAATATTTTAGCAGAGAATACCACTGGCCACTGCTTCTTGAATGCCACCTGTGTCCTCAGTGCTGCGGTGGACCTTGGAATAAATTACAACAGTGAACCCTCACAATAATTCCGTGAGCTAGCTAGCTGTCCTTGATGGTGAGACATTGAGACTGCGTCTCAGAGAAGCTAAGCACTTGCTACATCTCTCATTTCTCCAATGTAGACCCTATCTGTTGCATATTCTAACTGCTGTATCCAAGAAGAGTGTTTAATTTATATGTTTGAGTCGTCAAATGATTCCACAACTCTGCTTTCAAATACTTCCCAGAAAGTTCTAGATGAGACTTTCCAAAATTAACATCACAGAGTTACATTTCTACCAGGCCTTTTTGACATATACTTTAATAAGAGGAACCCTGATAAACAGGCTGAATTCTCACCTTGTGCATAGTGGGGTCCAGCTGGAGAGTGGGCCTGCATTTCCTCTGTGGAAATGGTCATCTCTTGGTCACGGGACCTTTTTGCCTTTTTCCATGGCCCTAGGCAGAAGTTTACCCTCTGTGTAATGTCAGGCAGTTCTACTTACCAAATTGTGAAGTAAGGAAATGTTCCTTGGTGCCCTCCTACCAGACTCTACCTCCTTCTTCCTCTTCTCCATCTTCTGAAATGTATAGCTGCAGGAGGGGAACAAGAAAACATAGGTCAAACAGGCATGTCCCCATGTCCCCCACTCCACTCCCACCCTGTACCCTGCCATGGCCACCGGATCCTAGTGGCTTTTATTTTATTTTATTTTAAGAATCAAGAAGGGAACCAGAGATAAGACAGAATGAATTCCCTACTTTATTTGGGGGATTTTGGTTTGGAAAAGAGTTCCCTTATTTTCTCTTAGTCATTTATTTAATATTCATTTATTTGATGTTAATAGATATTATAGCTAGTACCAATGCCAAAGGTATAATAGTTCTAAAATTATTTTTTTATGCTGTGGAAAGTATGTCTCTCTTCTACTCCTTTTTGAAAACACACGAACAATAGCATAGTATATGTGATATTTTGCACCTAATTTTAAAAATGTGTATCTTAGAAATCCTTTTTTACAAGGCCATGAAGAGCTACCTCTTTCTTTAACACAGATATGCTATAACTTATTTAATCAGTCTTCTTTTGGTGGATATCAAGGTTGTTTCCAATTATTTGCTATTAAAAACATTGCTGCAATAAATCATGAATCCATAGGTCATTTTGAAATGTATGAATAGATCTAAGAGATACAGTCCTGGAAATGTAATTGTAGGGTCACAGGACAAACACACTTTTTTTTTTTATACTTTAAGTTCTAGGGTACATGTGCACAATGTGCAGGTTTGTTACATATGTATACATGTGCCATGTTGGTTAATTTTGGTAGATTTTGCGAAATTGTCTACCCTAGAGATTGTACCAATTTAAACTCCCTCTCCCCTCAACCTACTAGCAGCAGTGCACGAGAGTCCCTTAGTTTAACCCTTTAGATCAAGAGGTTCTGGTAGGATATGGCTGAGATTTGAGAGAAGATGGACTTACGGGAAGGTCGGACAGAAGCCTGGCTTCGTAGGCTGAATGTCTAACCTCTTCTCAGGCAAGCTACGAAAGAAAAGGACTAGGAAACTCTTAATAAGACCATTCTATTCATTTCAAAGACTCCGAAATAAACCCAAACATATGGGTCTCCTGTCTGCTGCTAAAAATCTCCAGGAGGTAAATTCCACAGCCTTCTTGGGTAAACTATTTGGCTTCTCGCAACTCTTTTGAAAGTCAGGACATTTTTCCTGATGTCTAATGTAAATCTTTCCTGCCTATATCCACTTGTGAAAAACATGTACTAACATTTCCCTGAAGCAATGCAAGTTCAACTGGCTAGATAACATTATGCTCTAATTTCATGGCTAAAGTATATATCCTCCTTTTTTGGTTTAATAGCAGGCATCTCTTAAGTCATTTTTAGAAACGTTTAATACCCACACAAGGGAACATGAGCCCTTTTATTGTGTCCCATCTTTGTTTTAGCTATGGACTTTACAAAGACTGTGTGTGTCGGTGTGTGTACTTTAAAATTCTGCAGTGCCCTCTTGTTTTCTTTTTCTCATATATTATAATCATAGAATTGTAATACCTTGTCATTAAATGCTGATTAACATACAGCTTTCTTAACAACACATTCAATATCACTTCTGCTGAAGGCAACAATGTCTGTAACCGAGAGGCTTGCAGGTCGTTTCTGAGTATATCTTTCTCCTGCTGTCTAGATACAATAACTATTTTAGGAACATTTGGCATCCAAAAAATCCTAGCATTGTGCAAATTAAAACATCTGCTTATACTTTGACACTCTCATTCTTCAAAGGTTAGTTGGATTTGCGGTTGCTTTGTTCAACAAGACTGCTCTTAGAGCTCAAGGATGCACATTTAATTATTGGGAAGATCTGTTTGACAGGGTTGTGGGAGAAAAAGATCACCCATCATATTCAGACCAGCATTAACATTTTTATAGAACGAGATTGCCTGAGAGTCAAAGAAGAGGGGAAAACTCCAGGAAAATAAATATGAATCTATTTGGTCACTGGTCTTCCACTGATTTACAAGACTCCAACCAACGACTCTTTGCTCTGTTCCCCAGAACTCATCAGCTTGCTGTTAAACTTGGCATTTCTGATTCTGCCGAGGTTAAAGACAGCAAAGTAAACTCTGCTTCCAACAATAAATAACAGAGGGAGTTTTTCTTTTCATTCAAAAAGGCTTTAGATCACAGCAGACAGCTACAACCAGGTGCATTTAGCTACATTTGTCATTGCCACAAATGCAAAACATGTAAAGAATCCGTGGCAAACAGGTCAAGATCCAGCCTTTTTCTACCCTAAATATTTTTTTTTTCCATCTGTAATTGTTACCATTGCAGTAACAAAGGCCGAGGTGCCAGTAGTAAAGCCAGTATCTCCTGATTGGTTTATTTATGCAAGTCATTGACGCCAGGTAACAGACTGAACACTGGAAGGCTTTCTGTGTCTCAGGCCAAAGACTAGTAATCTTCTCCCTGGGCAATGCCGAGATAACACATGTCAAGAGCAGCAGTGACTCGCAAGCCAACTCATCACTCACCTCATCCCATCACCAGCCTGGACCCCTTTCATTGCCATTCCGAGGGGGCCTACAGACCTTAGCTGTTGCACAGGGAAGAAAAGGATAGGAGAAGGGGGAATGCATAACACATGCAGCAAGAGGGATTTGGTGAGGCAGGAACCAGCAGGTGAACAACGACTCATTTGGAAACATGCAGCTGGGTGTGTGTTATTTGCATATCAGAGACCCTTTGTTAAAGTGGCTTGCCCAGCTGTGTGGGCACATTGGTGGGGTGGGCAGGGGGGGAGGGGCGTGCTGGCCAGAAGCAGAAGATGAATTCTCAGACAAAACAGAGTGACTTGCTGTCTAATTAGTGCACAGGTTGAGGATGGTGTGCTCATGGGGGACCTGCTGCAGAAAAGCTGCGTGCTTCTGAGATTTATTTTCCTTCTGCCAAGTATATTATTTCCAAACTTGCCTTTTCAAGATCTTGCAAATTCCCTTAAAAAAAAAATGATTTAACAATTTAAGGAAAACAGCAGCAAAACAAAAGCCATGTTGATGAGGGACAGAGGTAAGGTTGGGTTTGAAATGAGTGACGAACCTCGTAATGAGGTGTGCAGCTTTGTATATTAAGCGATTTCTCTGCGGTACTTTTCCAGATGTGATGGAATACATTTATTTTTGTGCTCATCTGAACTGAAATAATACAAATGAGATAGTAAAAAGATATCATTACGTGCAGAAGTAGGCGAAGAATTTAGAATCCCAATTCTATAAGTTAACAGCTGTGCGTAAAGCAATTCAGAAATGCTTCGAGTCTGTAGGTTGCCTGGGAATCTCTGTCTAGCTCGTATGGACTTGTGACAATCTACGTGTGAATCCTGCATGTTGATAGTTCAAGGCTACTTTATTTCAGGCAGAAATAAATAGCTGGTAGTAAGAAGTCTGTCTCCATCGAAAGCCTGCAGTACAGCTGAATACAGCCACTGCAGTAGTGCCATAAAACGGGATGAGTTTAAAACTACCAGATGGTACCCTGTACAGTGCCTGAAATAAAATGGAGAATTAGGGTGCCCCAAGGTGTGCACAGGAAAGGCAATTACATGAAATAAATGTGCCTCAGGCCTACAGGATGCTCAAGTATGCTACACAGGAGACATATAGTACATCTGGTGAACAGATTTTATCACACACTGGAAAGCCATAAAGCACGCCGTTGAATATCAGAACCCCGTCTTACAATGACATTTTACCTGTGTTGCTATTCAGTGCTGTTTATTTTAAAAGGTGCTGTAATCTCGATGATGTGTTTTAAAAGCCTCCTTAACAATGTTTTCTACTATGTCCCATTTTGGGGGGTACAGATTGATTCAATGCAATGAAAGTCGGTGGACAAATAGCCACTCTGGTCACACGAGATCTTGTTTTTATTTCATTTATCTAATTGCTGATATGATTTGAGTAATAGGATTATACTTGTCAGCACTCCCCATTTGGGAAAATGCCAACATATTTTTAATGCTATTTCCCACATCTCCGTTGTATTGTCTGTCGTTTCACTAGAGTTTCCCTCTCCACCCACTCCTCCTTTTTCTTAACATTCAAAGAAAAAGTGATTTTTTTAGTGGTGGGGGTTTGTGAGGAGGATTTGTTGGCACGGAGCCATTTCTTGCTTCTTCCTCCACAGACGCAAATCTGCTTTCTGTTTGAAAATGATGTGCTTCTCTTCCGTTGTAAAAATGGCTGAGGAACACATAACATTCATTATTGTTTTAAGAGTTGCTGTAATAAAATCCTCTCAGTACTTAAAGATAGTTTTAGTGTCCCTCCTAGGATTCATTCTAGCTTTGATAATTGGGTAATTGCATCCCCTCCCCCACCAATAAATATTTTCACCCAATTAAGTTTAAAACTATAATAAATTTTAAAGAATTATAGTCTAAAAATTCATACCCTAGAACCAGTATTAAGTATGAATATTTATCTTAAGCCATCAAGCAGTGCAGCCTGTTTAGATGCTCCCATACCTTCTGTGCAGCGTCCTAGCTCCCAAGAGCTGCTGCTGGCGGTGCGGCTTCCCCGAGTGCCAGGAAGACGTGTGCCCTTTACTGCCTGTATGGTTTTCGGACAAAGCAATCCTTTACTTTCACGTTCCTGTCCTTCTTTGTTTCCATGCAGCATTATTAATTTGTTCACTCATTCATTCATTCCTGTCTTCAGTAAATTCTAACTCAGTGATTGGGCCCATGCTTATGGTTGAAGCTGGGTGTGGAGAGATGCATAGAGGGACCAAGTGGCTGCCCTGACACAGCCCACAGCTTATTAATACTTTCACTCCCTCCTATTCACTCCACAAACCAATGCATCCAGATACATCTTCCAGGCCCTTATTACAGGTTCACCCTCTGTTGCACAAGAGCATATACTCTCAATACTAAAGGGCAACTAAATGACACGGGACACTACCACCATTGCTCAGATGTGTAATAAATGCAGATTGGCACCCAGAAGACAGCTCAGGAGTTCACATTTCAAACTCCAGCCCAACAGAGACTCCAAACCTCCTGTTCCC